GTGGCTTGTTCTGTCTCTCTGATCTACCAGCATGGACCCCAATACTTGCCTCAGGTTTGATTTTATTAATAAGAACTTTTAAGAATCCTGCTACAAGCATCTCATACTCAAGAGCCCAGAGGATGATAACTTCAGAACATTGATGACAAGTATGCTTACCATTTAAGAATACTTAGATCAAGCAACTGGACTGTGAAGTTAAGAAAGTTCAAAAAAAAAAAAAAACAGGTCACAAATTTTGAAACATTATAGTTTCTTTAAAATTTCTACTTTTCTAACCAAAAACCATGTAAACAATGATAATAATTTAAAAAATTCTTGTTCTTTGTCAGCAGTTCTCAAAGTACATGTCAATAGAGCTAATTTTAAAAGAATAATTTCAAAGTCAAATGAATCCAATGCCATCTTACAATACAACTTCTTTAATGTGGTTAACAAGTTGGCATGTATGCTAGTTCCTGGAGATGGAGGGGGGCATTGCAATGGAGAAATGAAGATATAGCACTTCAAACACTCAAATCTGAAGAGGTAGAGTAAGGAGAAGTGGTTTTACCTTACAGCCTTTATCATTTACTATTAAAGTATTCCACTTATCATGTAGTCAGTGCAAACATAAAAGGCTTGGACTATGAAGCTCAACATGCTGAGAAATGAATCCTGACTCTAATATACATCCACTATGAAACATGGGTAGGGGTGAATTCTTTGAATAACTAATTCAGTTACCTCACATCTAAAATAATCACAAGAATATCTGTGTGCCATTGTCATATGGGAGAATTCTTGAGAATAAAGAAAAACACAGTAATTTGGAAAAGATGTGTCAACACACTAAAAACTAGTACGTTTAATTAGTTATCTACTGGATATATTCTAATACAGTGTTATTTAAATATCCAGTATTACCTAAAAGAATTGTCTGATGAATAATTCAATTATGAGTAAGCCTTGTGTAACAACAGTAGCAAAAGCCACACTCTGGTGCTATCTTGCTTCCTTCTTTGACACCTACATCCTTTACCAACGTCTTCCCATATCAACTTTATTTTCCTAAGGATTCTTCTAGTATTTCACTGGGATCCAGGCCAGAACACAAACAGAATCTCATGAACAACAATACATAAATCACCATGATCCAACCTCAAGAATTTGATCTCAGAATTCAACAGGATAGTCACTGTAAAACAATACTCACTATTTTAAGAAACTCTTTAGTTGAAAGTGACTAAACACATTGTCAGAGAACTGTATAGTTGATTTATAGTTATCATCAGTTTAGATGAAGTGGTAACTGGGAGAATGGAGCCAATAAATAAAGTCTCACGCAATAGCCAACTTTATTCAGACCAATACTCTCAGGGTTAAGAGAAATCACATGAGTAAAGTTCTCATGAGTTCAGGCAGTATACAATCACAAGGACAAGTCTTATGTGGCAATTTTTTTCCATAGAGGCATATAAACATTTAATTGAAATACAGCAGCAAGAAATAATGAGTAATATGAAATAAGCTCACTCCTATTCACTACATCTGGGAGGAACATGAAAACACATTCCAATAATAAATCCATGTTTTAAAGAAATTGCGGTCACAAAACTTGTTTACTTGGAGTGTTCTCACAAGCACTCAGAGTTCTCACATGACTCCATTCCTGGTCTGTGATCGAGAATAGTCAGTGATAAAATAATATGGGACATTTATAAAATTGGCT